CTATCAAAGAGCTTTCCTAATTAAGGAGATTTTAATTCCCTTAATTTTCTCCAATTAACAACCCCCATTATTTCCAAATTAATGGAACATTTCAAATTTGAATTGGATTTTCAAATCCCATAATTAAGGGGTTGTATTAGGAAGATGTTCAAGTCCTAACACCCACATAATGAGCTCTAAATTGGGTGTTTGGATTTGGACCAATCAATCTGGATCGTGGCCACTATGACGGGCAACAATCCGGGTCCTACCCTATTGGGTATTTTCTAACAATCTCACACTTGGCCCGAATGGTGGCCACAAAAATATATTAGCTTGATCAAGGCTAATAATGTGTAAATGTACACATTGAACCAAACCACTTAGGTAATTGCTAGCATAATGCAAATCATGGCAATTCCCTCTGAATATTAAAGTTTCCTTCCATGTATTATATCATTATGCATCACAACCCTCAGTGTATGGGCCCTGATGTGTTTTGATCATTACAAATATGTGCACATTTGTTGACAAAGGAAGCATCGGCACGTGTCGTCAAATTAAACCGTTTTCATCCAATGAGCTGATAGTACCCATGTTTTTCACATTTTTGTTTTTTGTTCCTCCAAGAAATTGCTCCTCCAGCAAGTAGAAATATATACCCTGATGTGGACTTTCTAGTATCTGGGCAACCAGCATTATCCGAATCGGTGTACCCACACAGATTCAGTTTGTCCCCTCTTTTGTACATGAGAACATATTGTTTAGTTCTTTGCAGATATCTGAGCACTTTCTTCGCAGCTTTCCAATGTTCCCTACCTGGATTACTTTGAAACCTACCCAGTACTCCCACTACAAATGCAATGTCAGGTCTTGTGCAAAACCTGTGCATACATCAAGCTACCAACTACTGATGCATAAGGAACATTATTCATGTCCTCTTTCTCATATTCAATTTGATGACAACTTTCACTGCTAAGTTTATCTCCTTTATGAGTGGGAACTATACTTGATGCACAATTTTCCATTCCAAAACTTTATAAGACCCTTTGGATATAGGCCCTTTGGGATAACCCCAGAACTTTACGGGCTCTATCTCTTTGGATCTCAATTCCTAGAACATAGGAGGCTTCTTCCATGTCCATGTCGAATTTCTGCTTTAGAAACTCTTTGGTTTGGTATAACAGGCCCATATCTCTACTAGCTAACAAGATATCATTAACATACAACACTAGCATGATGAAACTACTCCCACTAACCTTGAGGTATACACATTGATCCACAACATTTTCCTTATATCCAAAGGATGTGATAACACTATGAAATTTGTAGTACCATGGGCGGGAGGCCTGTTTCAACCCATAGATGGCCTTTTTCAATTTGCAAACCATATGTTCCCTACCTTCAACTGCAAACCCTTTGGGTTGCTCCATGTATATTTCCTTTTCTAGATCACCATTTAGAAAGGTTGTTTTCACATCCATCTGTTGTAGTTCTATATCATAATGAGCTATCAAAACTATGATTATTCTGAATGAATCTTTCTTAGAAACAAGAGAGAATGTTTCATTGTAGTCAACTCCCTTTTATGTATTGTACCCTTTGGCCACGAGTCTAGTTTTTTACCTTTCAACTTCACTAGTAGGTGTACTTTTAGTTTTAAATATCCATTTGTATGGAATTGTCCGAGCACCTACTGGTAGTGGTACTAAGTCCCAGACACCATTAGTAACCATAGAGCCTATTTCACTCTTCATGGCCTCAAGCCAGAATGCGGAGTTACGACTGCCCATGGCTTCTTTGAATGTTAATGGGTCCATAAAAGGACCCATATCAAACTCAGTCTCCTGAAAGTATACATAGTCAGAAGATGTGGTGCTTCTTCTTATTCTAGTTGATCTCTTAAGAAGTGTGGGTACTTTTGTGCTCTCCACAGGAGGCAGTATTTGCTCCGTAGGTTTCACTAGATGAGCAACAATCACATCTACCTCAGTGGTCTATTCTACCGATGGTTGTTCTTCTTGTACTATAGTAGAATTTGTAGGTAGAACAACATTGAGATGTCTATCAACATTTTGGACTTCCTTTAACTCAATGTTTCTAGTATGTTCATTCCCACTGTCTAAGAGATTCTCTATGAATTTTGCATTTGTTGCCTCTACAATTCTTGTTGAATTATTCGAACAATAGAACTTGAAACCTTTGGATCTTTCAGCATACCCAACAAAATGTCCTGATGGTCCTAGGGTCCAGCTTTCCTAATTGTGGGTTGTATACCCTTACTTCAGCTCTGCAACCCCAAACATGTACGTGATTTAAACTAGGCTTCTTTCCAACCCATAACTCG